AATTTGGTTCATGACTCTATTCATGAAGTATATATCTCATCATCCAATTATTTTTTTCTTGATATTTTTCATGTGATGATATGAAATTTTGCATGAAATACTCATGATATTATGTTGATGCATTCAAATGAGAAGTTATGATCTATGCTTGGTAGGATGCAATGTAATTTGATATTTTGATATCATCATAATTTGAAATATTTATGATTTGGAATGATACATACAATACTTATGATTTTTTTATGAAATGATGTGAAAGTTAACAACTATCATTTTCTGAAATGATACCTTATTTCAGTATGCCATATTGAAATAAGACTGATACTTTATCCTTCTCATGATTTAGAATTTGATGTAAAGGGAAAAGAATTACAACATTGTATTCTTCCCTTCTTTTTGATAATGATAAAATGGGAGAAAAATTTGCTAACTTGCACATTACAAAAGGAAAACTTGCTAGGAAGCAAAATTGCTAGATTGCACTTCTCAAAAGAGATGAAAGAGCTTGTTATCTTGAACATCACCAAGAATTACTAGATTGCAATCTCAAGAGAAGCAAAAGTGTTATCTTGCTTATCTCAAGAAGCAATTCTCGCAAACTTTCATATCTCAAAAAAAGAAGCTAAATTTACAAACTTGCACAACTTAAAATTGTTGCTAGTTTGTATGTTGTAAAACTTACATATCTTAAAAACTTACTGGATGCACTTCTCTTTTTTTGTTGATGACAAAGGAGGAGAAGTAATGAGGATGATTTGAATCATGTGTGGTATGATGCATTTTTATATTTTGAAACATTGCATGATTTTTTGAATTTAAAGGTTCTATCAATATGACATATTTATAGGGGGGTTAAGGTTAACTCCGTCATCAATTGGTTGCCATCATAAAAAAAGGGAAGATTGTTGAATCTCAGATTTTGATGATGAAACCAATTGATAATGTTATGATCTAATCTGTATTTTGAGTGACGCAGGACTAGCTTCGATCAGGAGAGACAAATTGATTAAAGCAGGAGGAATCGGATGTTGGGCCGGAGTTAAACATATCAGAAGATTGGACGTCGGGCCGGAGGATCGGTAGACGTGTCGACAGAAGGCTTCGTGCCGTGAATTCGAGCATCGGGCCGAAAGATCGGATATTGAGCCAAGGAGATCGAAAGTTGCGGGTGTCAACATGCCGATTGGGCAATACGCCGAAGGATCAGACGAAGTATCGGAAGAACCAATGACATGTCGGACAACGGATGATTTGTGCTTTGTAATAATTTGTCTATCTCGAGTTAGTTTAGGTCGTAATTGGGTTAGTTTAGAATGCAATTAAGTCAATTCAATTAGGGTCCAATTGGGCCCAAAGTAGGATTGTTTTGGGCCAAGAGAGAGACCCATTTAGTGACCCAAAAATTAGGTCAGGCGATGGCACCGCTAGTGGCTCAATCTCCGAGACACGGTCTCCAAGATTGTGTCAGGCAATAGTACCGCCAGATTGAGCGGTGGTACCACCTAGACCACCGCCTAGTATGGCGGTACTATTGCCCAGACACAATCTTCCAATTTGTGTCAAGCGGTGGTATCGCCCAGTGTCAGTGCTGCATGCAGTAGTATCGCTCAACACAGGCGTTGGTACCGCCAAGACCCGGGAAACCCAGGATGAGAACTCTTTTGGCTCTAATTTTGAAGTTATTTGGGGTCTATAAATACCCCAGCTATTCCTGCATGGAGAAATAAGAATTTGAGCAGAAATGTGTTGTTATTCTAAGTTGAAAAAGTGCTAAATGTCCTCATCTTTAAGTTTCGGGCTTAGTCTAAAAGAGGTGTGAGGCTTGTAAGGGTTGTCTCTTAAACCCGTGAAGAGAAGAAAATGTGTAAAAGGGTAGTTGGTCTTTGCCTATTGAAGGAAGACCGGTAGTGGAAGCCGATGGCCTCAAGTGAAGAGGAATCGATAGTGGATGTAGGTCACGACGATCGAACCACTATAAATCGGTTTGTATTTCTGTTTTGCTATTTTCCTTTATTGCAAACTGCTTTACTTCCTCGTTACTTTAGTTACATGCTCTTACGAACGCTTTCAAAGTTAAACATTGTCGAAATGATTTTATCGTATGAAGTTTTCGACTCGACGTGATTTTTACGTACACATTCCCCCCCTTTTAGTGCAGACTCGATCCTAACATAGTTCTTTTTCTTGGGCATCCTTGTTCAATGAACTAGAAGTCATGCAATGCATCTAAATATTCCACCATGACGAAAAGGTATGACTCTTCATCTTGTGCTTCAATTTCTCCACTAATTGGAATGAATGCCTGCTTTGACCCCTGAGATTCTAGCATATCATTAACCCACCAGTCATCAGTTCATTGCGGAAGTTAATATTGTATGTTCGTTTAAGAAATTGGTGGTTGGGCATTTGCTCAGCATGTTTTGCTGTACTTTATGGACATTAATAGCTTGTGTTGTTTCTTTAGTGCTTGACAGAATTTGTATCCATCAGTTTACTACTACAGGTTGTTTCAATCTTATGTTCCCTAAAGCAGCCAAGTATATATATGATGCTCCATAGAATCAAACTAGTATCATCCTGATGCATCTGTATAGGCCAAGTCTGATGCTTTTAGTTTTTGGTTTTGCCTTCTCCATTTGTCTGCTGTATTTGCCTCAGGTTTTACATCTCAAAGATGATTGAAATTTGATGAGCCTAAACTACTAAATCAAAGTACTTACTATAGTCATATAATCCTATATATCAATTCAGTTTATCCTATTAACTAATATCTGTTCTGATAATAATTATCATAATCTCGATTGATGAGATAGTTGATTTATCACCATGTTGCGTATAAACCACTCAAGTTGAGATAGTTTCATATAATTCCTATACTTCCTGTAACTTAATTCAATTGTTCTCTCACATCTGATATGAAGTTTAAATTGGAGTATCACATCAAATAAGTTTAGTTATGTTTTTTCTGTTATATATTCAGAAGCATTTTCTTTCTTATTTGTTTTGTTTTCTTAGTTCTTATTAGGTGTAATTTTGTTTTCTGTTAGTTTAGTTTGTTTTATGTATGTATATGATTCATTGATTCTACAATGAACTTAAAATATATTTTAAAATTTTAAATATCTAAAATATGCGTAAATTTCTTATGATTTCGATATTAAATAAAATATGTTCGCGTTTGTGATTGAAATCCAACATCAATCAATTGATGGACATTAGCTACAAACTTTTGTATATTATATATATATATATATATATATATATATATATATATATATATATATATATATATATATGTGTGTGTATATGTATGTGTATGTGTATGTGTATGTGTATGTATGTATGT